AGCGAGAGCTGCCGTCCGTCTGCCGCGGGGGCGGCTGCTGGGCAGAGCCCGGGGTCCAGAGCCCGGGCAGCAGCGGGACCAGGAGCAGGGCGAGGGCCCAGGAGAGCCCGATCATGCAGCCCGTGTGCTTCCGCTGGTAGAGGGCCTGGTACACGCTGGGCAGCTTGGTGATGAGCACGTACCTGTTGAAGGCCACCAGCAGGTGAGAGGCCAGAGAGACGGTGAGGCCGAGGCCGAGGAGCCCCCCTCGGAGCAGCCGGTACTCCGCCGAGCGGAGGGAGGAGGAGTTGGGAGGCAGCAGCCCCAGCACAGCCTCCTGGGGCATCCACAGGGCGCACACGCTTAGGTCTGCCGCACAGCCGTTCACAATGAAGGCATTACTGGTTGTCTGCAGCTTCTTGAAGGAGAAGACTAAATAGATGACCATTACATTGGATAAAGTCCCTGAGATAGCTAAGACTGCATAGAGCAGCGACAGGAAGATGCGGGTCCCAGAGGAGTCCTCCCAGAGCAGCAGCAGAGGCGAGCTAGCACTCCACGAAGAGGCGTTGGGCATCTCGGTGAATGCAGCTCAGTTTTGACTTCTCCCTGTAAATCCCATCCTTGTCTGGGTCAGAAGAACCTGCTGCAGGAGTCCCCCACCAAGCATAAGGGAGGATGTGCAGCTGAGGGACTCTAAGGCAGGTTTCAGTCATACAAACTGCAAGGTCCAGAAAACGCAGTTCGCAGGAGCGATCCAAAGAACAGCAGTGTCCAAGGCAGGCAGGTAGCAGGAGATCCCACAGATTGTAGCTAGTGAAGATGGGTCCATAGGGAGCAGATAGCTGTCAGCAGACCAGAGCACGACTGAGGATTCTGTAGCTGTGAAAATGCCAAAAGCAGCAGCACCTTGCAATCAGCAGCAGAAATGACAGCAACTGATACAAAGCTTTGCAGTTTCTCCTGTGCCACAATACGTACACTGTATATCATTCCAGGAAGATTCAGCCCTTCCACTCTTCATGAATTATTCAGCAGATTTTCAACTTGTTAAATCAAGAAGAATAAAAAAAAAAACCCAAACCCTATCATGCTCCAGAAATACTGCAACTACAGTCTGACTCTTTTCTCTTTGCCTTACCAGTTTCCTGGTTCTAACTCATTTACACAACTTTCATTTGCAGCAGGCTTTCAAACCAGTATCAGTCTCTTCTGTCTGAAATACAATCCATTTACTGTAGAAACTCCTCTGCTAGATACTCACTTAAACTGATTTTTTCTGATCTTATTTTTGTTAAGAGAAAGCACACTTGCTTCTGCAAGCTTAAAGTTAATTTTAGAACTGGTATGTAATAACAATATACTTTCCAAATTAAATCTTTCAAACACAGATAGATGCACAGATCCTTGGTAAGACAGTACTTCTTATTTGAGGAAGCTGGTCTTCAATTTACATATTCTTCATTTCTTCATAAAACTCAGCCTGTCTCAGCCCACAGGAAATCCTGCATCACCAACCTGCCAGAGGTGAATGCTGGTGTCAGTAAGTACACAGATAAAACAGAATCAGCATAGTGTATGAAACGGTCTCCACCAAAATTAATTCAAAGCACAAGGTGCAGAGTTGAATGACAGGTTCTTAGGTGGACTAAAACCTGGTTGAAGAGTAAGGCTCAACAGTCCCTTCTCGAATGGATAAGAGTTAGTAGTGGGATTCTCCCAGGAACTCTACAGTGCTTTACTCAATCAGGGACAAAATGTTAACTGTCTTTACCGTGGACAAGATTTAATAAGAAACTGAGTAAAAGAACTTAGATTTCCTCTCAAAAGCTTTCCAGAAAAGGAATGCTGATTAATTGTGTAGTGAGTGTAGGAGAAAAGTTGCTTTTACAGGTGGGTTATATGTGGGCTACAGAAGCAAGCAATGTTAGGTCATAAGGTATGACCTGCATATTGACCAAAGATACCTTTATAAGGCGTTTTTAGATATTGTTAACTCACGATGCTAACAAATGACAATACCAAAATAATATATTAGGATGTAATTATAGTTACAATGTAAATTCTTTAAGATAATTAAGTTAATTTGTGTGGGTCAATGGATTATTTTGTTGCAACATAGCACATCTTTTGTTTGACAGAAAGGCTTATGTTGATTGACAGGACTATTGATCCAAATGTGGATGTTACAAACATGAATATCTATGCTCTTTTTTAATTAATTAGATTGCTCATGTGCTTAAAGTTAAAGACATAACCTGAGTGATTTACTTGATCAGGCCCTTAATTACCATATTTTTTGCCTGCTGCACTTTACAGTGTAGATCTAATCAAGTGTCAAACCTTTTGAGGCCTTTCATTGTTTAGCTGTCAGTGGAGAACAGTTATTATGGAAACTAAAATCCTCCTCTTTCTGCAGTATTGTAATTGAAAAATATTCTCTAAATCTGTTACAAGAAATATCTCCCTAACCAAAAGCTTCATAAAGCATACTTTAGAGAGATGATTAACAGTTTCATAAGGCATTAGCCACAGAATCATAGGCCCAGTATAGACCTCTAGATTTATTTAATCCATCCTTACATGTTTATTAAACCTCTTTTTAAAGATCTCATGTGCTAAAGCTTCTTCTCCCAGACAAGGAGATACATTTATACACGAAGCAGCAGAAATGGTAAAGTTCAAGGATAAGTGAACAGAGGATACGAAACGAATTTCAGGGTATTTCTTAAAAGCTAAAAGGTTCTAAAGACCTCCCTGAACTTTCACTGTTGTTGTTAAGAAGCTGATCGTTACAGAATACTGGCTATATTTATCATTCATTTCTAAGACCAAAAAATGTTGTACATTAGCTCGCATTTACTGCATTTCATATAATAAATAGAATTCAATAGAAGTTAAGTCTAGAAAAAGGCTAAGGGAGAGGTTGATGCCTATGTACGAGAAACTTTTTAATTAGCTATTCTTCCTTTATATTTACTCTACACATCCAAATCAACATCCATTAATTGTCTGAGTGTAGTGACAGAAGCCTTTTATTGTGTTTTTAGACTAGACTGTCACTAGAATTTGGGCAACTTCTAAAGCATCCAGTCTATTCCTGGCTTTGCCATTCCTTTAGAGTGGCTGTGTAACAGTTACATACTGTCCACATCATCTATTGCAGTACAGACTCATCTGACCACAATATTAAGCACCGTCGATAAATAATCATGCAACACAACAAATTTGCTGAAAATCAGCAGCAGAGTTAAACAATGTTAGAACCACTTGTGACTAGTTTTTAATTGAAGGAAGGATAAAGAGCTAAATGAAAGCCTGATCTTTTAGGTTCTTATGGACAAAGACCCTGCTGTTAGTGAGACTAAGAAAGCTGTTGCACATACGAAAAAGACAAGGTATATTACACCTTTAAAAAGGGTCCTTGTCCAGGAAAAAAAAAAGTTTCTTCAATTCAGACACAGCTTTTAAATTACAGTATTTTGAAATATAATCTTTACATCATAATATCAACACGTTGATTAAATACTTGATGTTATACAAAGCAAATACAAGAAGGTTAGCTAGAGCGATCAGTCATACTAATGTCTTTTTGCAACTAATGTCTTTTTGTCTTACTTATAAATATATTACATGCTTTAGCAGGAAGAAGGTGATTTTGAAGAGCTAATCTTCAATTAGAGATCTAATCACATTAGTTTACATCAAAAGATCTAAATAAGAAAAGCCAAGAAACAAGGAAGCTGGCTGATATAGGCATTTTATTATCAATTAACTGTATATATCTCTCTCTCTACATTTCAAAATTAAACTATATTTTATTAAGGAAAACTGTTTATAACAAAGTACATGACAAAATTCTTTATAAGAGGTAGAATTACCTTACTATTAATCTATAATTCATATACAGTATATTGTATATATATGCACACACATGCTACTTTGTGTGTGTATGTTACATATACGCAGTTGTGAAAAAAGTACAGTATTGCATGTAAATTTTATTCAGTGATTTATATAGCTGCTCTCAGTATTGCTTATTAACACTTTCAGTACAACTTCCCATAGCAATTTGTGGTCTGATCTTTTTAAAAAATAATGTGGCACTTTATCTTAACTTCAGTTGTAAAGCAAATGCAGGGCATTCACAGGTCTTCAGGAACAAAGACTGACAATTCAGCCAAGTTTTATTTTCAAGTTTCCGTAGATATCGGAAAAACTCATAGGTAACAGATCTGTTTTGTTTTTGTCTTCTAAATTAGTGGCAAATCAAGTCCTCAGAGCTGTTTATATTTTTTTGCTTATTACGCATTTTGGAGTTCTGAAAATTTTACACGTGATCTTTAGTACTTCACTATAATACCACTTCATTCTAAGTCTCATTCCTTGTTACACCTGATTAAACTATACGTTAAAGAGCATCTTTTCTACTGACAAAAACATTCTGTGATACAGGATGTTACATTAGCTGTATGTTTAACAATAATTAAAAAGTTTATGAAGCATCCAATTTATAAATGAAAATTTAATATACTTCCAACATTTACTTTAGTATGCTTTGCTAATGAAACTGTACGCATACTGGCAAATGTAGGTTAAAAACATCGAAGTATGCAGCACTGCCAAATTCATTGTACAAACACATTCTTACCAACTTAAGTTTGGTTTGCCTTCATTTTTGCAGTATATATTGCATAGCAAAATTTAACGTTCTACATTGAAAAGAAAGAAGTTAAAACATTCCTTTAAGACAAATTGAAAGAAAGTGTTAATTGTACACTGGAATAATCAGGTAAATTACTTTCTCTTTGCAATGGAAGATGTAAGTTATATTACATCTCAACAAATATTTTCCCTTTATTTTTCTTTCATAGTGTTTCCTTATGAAACATTAGCAGCTGAAAGTAGAAAGCAGACTATGTATCAAGTGCTTTCAGTTGACAGTGTGATAACTCTGTCTCTCACTAGTTAGACTTCCATTAAGTTACCAGAAGACCAATTAGTGAAAAAGTAATTACACTAGGCTTTTAGCAATAATGATGGACCCATAAAACAAGAAAAACCATCTTGTTCATAAAAAAATTTTCATCTTTGATAAACACATAAAAATTCTTTAAAATACACATTTTTGTAGCAAAGTAGTGAACAACACTAAATTAAAATATATTCTAATTTTTACATATTTTTAATATATATTGCTTACCAAAATATTCTCTTAATACATATTTTAACACTGTACACAAATTAATAAATGCCTAATGAAACTCATTAGAAATATATTCAAGCTGTCTCAACATTAAAAATTTAAATCTGTATATAACATAGGGTAAAATCATTTCCATAAATTCAACATCAGTGCATCTGCAGTAGTCATTAACAAGAAATTTCTGCCTGTTAAGAAGTCTCCTCTTGGTGTTAAGGTTTTAATATGTCTTGTATTGAAGATTCCTCCTCAGAGTGAGCTTCCTTCCTTAAGTTCTTCTCCTTCATGAAGGACTTCAATTTTAAGAGCTCAACAGGTTTCACCAAAGCAGGAAGGCTTTAGTACTGAACATACTCAGACTGAAGGGACTGTACAGAGAAGAAAAACTGATTAAAACTCACTGGGGAGGTTATGCTTGTATATGATACGCATTTTGCACTTAAAGATAAGGAGTAGGGGAAGGACAGGAAGAAGGAAAATAAACAGAGAGTTGGAGAGGGATCTGAATCTCTGCATAGGTAAAAATGAATAAAATAGAAGGAACTCAAACACTGGATAAAGTCCATCAACTTTCCTGCATCTACACTTACTTTTCCAAACCAAATTCTAGAGATTCTTGAAGAAAGTGTTACAAGTCCTTTAAAACACCACCTTAAAAGAATACCTTAAAAATGTGTTGGAAAAACATGATTGCAGTTACTATAATTGAATTGTTTCCATTTATCCTGAATGAGAATCAAAGTGCTACTGTAAAAAATACAGCATACTTTAGATGCCGATTCAGGTAGTGACATAGGAAACAAATATGGTGTAGCTAATTACTGAGAAAAAAGTACAATTATGCACATGAATAAATTTATGTATGATTACTAAAACCAGATGAAAATGAAGCACTGCAAATGGTTCATCTGGATTAGCAGTCAATATAATTAACAGGAAAGCATAACCTGGTCTACTCTATTTATTTACATTTCTGGTTCTACTGAAGTCTAAGGTTTTATTATAAAGTCATTAATCAGTTTAGACAGCATCCAAATATTTTATTACCTCCTATACAGATGTGTTCAGGAAGTCATTCTGATGAATAAAAAGTCTTATCTGAGAGCACTGTTCACTGTACTAGTATGGTTATAAACAAATAGCAAATAAAAAAAACAAACTATATTTTAAAACTGCATCAATTCATCAGAATTAGAGAGAACTACTGGAGAACAACATGAATCCCAAGAAAGCTCAGAACCTTGGAGTCTTCTCTTTCTACTATTCCTAACTAGCCACTACAGAAATGCTCTTTGGCATCCATAGTGAAATCTATAAGTAGAAGTGCATAAATCTTTAGAACTCTAACTAATATCACAAAACCACTTTTTTTTCTCTATCTTAAGTCTTAGTATATATTTCCAAAGTTGTCTTTTAAATGCATTTTCACATCTTGAAGATCTGACACCATCTGGATATTCTTTCCTAGGTTGAAAAAGAAGTGCTGTTCAGCATATAAAGATTTGAATACCACTGACTAAAAAGGGTCTGTTTTTAGTACTGAATGGATTCAACATGAAGGGTATAGAAAATACTTTACCATAAAACTAAACAGATGTAACAAGTATTTTTCATTATAGGCTCAGAATCACCATGGAATACACAATCATAGAAACTTATTTTTCCCCACTCCATTCTCTAATAATCATTCTGGATTATTAGCTTTGGTAAGAGCATTTGTCAAGCTATTTATTACATGTGTAAGAGTGAGGCAAAAGGAATAGCTCTTCATCAATGAGCACTTGAAACTTCTGCTCTCTTAATGATCCTCAAAGCTTTCTCGTTTTCAGAAGTGTATTTTAACAATCAGAAAGATGGTTACACTTAACTAGAGTAGTATTTGAAATGGATCCTTCAAAACTGAATTCCAAGTAAAGTTGATTAACAAACATAAAAAAATGCATGAAGTTTAATTAATACACTTGTATGTTGTACAGTAATAGATTATTTTACGCTTGGACAGATGAAAAGTGACCAGAAAGCACTGTACACTTTTGGTAGCTAGTGTTAGTTGACAAAGAACTATGAACAGCAGCCTTTTACTTAGCAGACAGTAGTAACCAGGAATTCTACATCATAGTTTAAATAAATGAACAAGCAAACCATAAATTAAAGATTCTGAAGTTTACACTAAAAATCTTGAAATTGTTAGGAACCCAAGTTACAAAAATACAGAAAAAAATTAATGGCAACATATAAAAAAGAATAAATATCCACGCAGAACAGATTGCGTAGAAACAAGATAGCATGGTTTGTTGATTTTCATTGGGTAGGCAGGGTTTAATTTATTTATTTTCGAATTAAGAAATATGTTTTTCAGTGTGTTCCCACCCTCACAATAGCTCTACTTCACATAGCAATGATTTCTTCCTAATGTTTCAAAGCCTTTTCTGAATACAGGGAAGAATTAAATCTAAGCAGCATTTTTTCCAGATTAAGATTAATTGATGTGATTTCCCATAAAGTTCATATTACTAAAAACATGGTGATAGCCGTAACAACTGAGCTGTTGTAAAGTATACGGACTAATTTTTGAGTTTGAAAAATGAAATTATAGCTGGAGACGGTTGGGTTTTTTTTTTGCTTTTGCAGTTAAGTAATTTGTGCTCTTAAATCTCTTCACATTGTCCAAAGAAATTGACTGTAATATTTCAAAGCCTGTAATTGTGATTTTTTTTCCTTTTTTTTAAAATCTTTTGAGGAGTTTTCTATTTTAAAATTTACATTTTTACCTCCTGTTCACAGTGACTCAAAGTATGGCCTGTGATTCTGAAAGCTTTACGAAAAACAAAAAGCCCCAATCCACCTTTACAAGTCATATGCTGGTATTTAACAAAATCTTATTTAAAATAGAGGTAAAAATAGAAGGAAAAAACCAAAGAAAATTGACTGCTGAATTGCAATGATGAGAGTGTAAAATCAGTTAATTGAGTAGAATTCTCAATGTGTACTCCTACAGTGGTCCCATGCAGTGTCAAGCTTGGCATTTTATACCCAAGTATCAGACATTTAAACAAAGAACTAAGAATTAGTTAGCTTCACTACAGTTAAAGATATCTAATGAAGTTCACACTGAAGCAACTGCTTAGATCACTATTATTTTTCTTATTCAATAGGAGGCACAGAAAGCCTTCTGGAAGAGAAAATAAGCCACAGATGCATCTAGGCACTAGAACCGTATTTACATGCATTCAGCGTCAGGACCAAGTCAGCTGCGGGTTAATTTTTAAGAGGGAACAACCCTATAGCATTTAGGGCTATCTGTTAGGATTTGAACATGCACTTTTTCCAGATAATTGCAAAAAGTAGTTTAAGTTTTTTGAATTGTGCATCAACTCTCCCGAAACATTGTTGCAACAGGAGTGTTGCAACAGGCAAGAATTACCATGAATACACAAGATCCACTAAAATAAATCAGGATATATTATAGAAAATGCATACGCACTTGAAGGTATCCTTTGAGTCTGCTAAATTTACAGATCAGTAAGATGCACTAGTGTTTGTCTCCCTTTTTGCAAAGGCTGTCCTATATTCATTACTGGTAAGTTCTTATTAAGAAAAACTATTCCACAAGTATAAAGATCATGTATATGAATTTTAAAATACTGCTACACTTCTCAATTTTTTGAAATTTTTCCATCTTGCTAGTTTCCATGACAGCTATAGAAGCAAAAGGTGACTCATCTTAAGACTACCCAGTTACATACTCTTCAATAAAAATACATTTTAAAGAGAGATATTTGGATTTATAACTATTGTAAGAACAAAGTAAAAATCTTATTTTGGCACCTTAAATGTGATTATATGCAGTAAGATTATTTCTGCAAATTATAATTGTGAGAGATTCTGTTTAATCAAAACATCCAATTTGTAAAATTTGCACATAAAGTATTTATTCTATTTGGCTAGAACAGCAAGTTGTCTATTCTATGAAAATCAAGCTTTTCTTCTAGATCATCAGCATACAACAGCATAAACACAATAAAAAGGAAGTGGATTATAAGCTTATACTGATGAAGGACAAAAACCATTAGGGAAAAATGCATGGCTGACAAAAACAGGAAGTCATAGTCATGGTTATTTTTTGTTTGTTTTAAATGGAATGTGGAACAATAGTATTAATAAATGTTTTTCAATGTTTCATTACAAAATGGGGGGGGGGGGGGGGGGGATTGGGGGGGGTGGTGGTGTGGTTTGGTTTGGCAAATAACTTTTTCTTCCATACTGTGAAAAAAACATTATGTACTTGCATTTCATAAAAATGAAGTTCCCAATTTTCTCACTAATGAGATTAAAGAATATTAATTAGAAATGAAAATTTACTTTCCTAACCATCTTAAAATGCTCCTGCACCAGTCGTGTTGACACTTAAACTTAGAAAGAGAAATATGAGTGATAAATAAGGTGATTTTCTAAAATAGAGTATCTACACGATTACAGATGGTTAGCTTGATATCTAACTCGGATAAGTGAGATTCTGCTAATAAAAAGAGGACCAATATAATTCACGTCATTCAAGAGTTCTTTGATGAGATAAGTTAAATGAATAACCATAACCACCAGTATATATAATAGACTTCTGTCAGGTACATTATCTGATGTGCTCCAATTAGAAAAAAGTGCAATGTAATACAAACACTGTTGCAACAAGACTAAGATTTGGTTGACAAGACTTCCAAGTAATTTCAGCATCTAAAGCAGTGAAGTGGAAATCATTAAACAGAATTGTTTTTAACAGAATTCTGCCAGAACTTGTATTAAGACTTGATGCTACTCCATATTTTGCTCATGAGCTTAAGACCACTGATGAATATCACCAAAAGCAAAATAGCTGGATATCAGTGGTTGAAGTGGTAAGACAAAACAATCTTCCTTCATTGGTTAATTGGTCCCATTAAAAAGAAGGGAGAAAAAAAAAAAAAAGATGATGCTTTTATAGAGCCAAATGCAAAGTTCCACATAAAAAAAAATCAGGGAATGCAGGACATTGGACTAAAATACAAGTCAGTATCTTGGATAGCAAGAACTCTTTTTTCTTCTCCCCATGAACTCCCAGTGCATTACAGTTAAAGAAGCTAACACAAGTTATGGATTTATAAGCAGGACAGCACCGAGTAGCAGCTTTCTGGACCTGAAAGATGAATGTTGGAGCGATGCATCTACTTCTTTAAAAAGGTTTTTCAAAAACTGCAAAGGATTTGAACACTTTCCAAAAGGACCTTTGAGCCAACTTAGCTTATCAAAAGACAATCAAGTTGAGATGACTAGCATGAAATATCTTCATGACAGGAAAATAAGGAAATAAAGGACTATAACAGTGACATAATAAAGAGAGACAGCAAGTTTCAGATTAAAAGTTAAATGGTTTTAAGCATGACTGTATTCAACCAGTGGGACCAATTATCAAGAAAAATTGTATCGTCTTCAAAATAAACCACCATCAAGATGGATCTGTATTAGCCAGTAAATCAGAGGCTCACTACCAGACAGCAGCTAGAGATTAAATGATCAAATAATCTACTCTTGTCTTAAACACTGTGACATCACAGTAACTGCACTCAACTCAGTCAATTGTGCATAAAACGGGTAACAATTTAGTGCACTCCACTGTGATTGTGATAGATGCACAGGGCCATATAGTATATTAAGCAGCACATGCAACATTCAGGACATGTTTGAAAAACATCTTGCAAGCAGGAAAGCAGTTTAACCATTATTATATTGAAATAAGATTACAGGTAAGTCAGAAACTTGTATTTTGCTACATAGACTTTGCATGGCATGATTCTTCCTAAGAAATGCTGGTTCTCACATCACAATACATAAAATCCTTTTTCTCTCACCTCACTCTTCCAGATAAGATGGATATAGCATCTCATTTAAAGATCTTGCTATATTTGACTGTGTATAACCTCTACTCCTAATCAGCAAATGATATAAAGCCAACAACTGTTCAAAGGTTACACTCTTACATCCTTCCATGCATTACTAAGTCATTAAGATAGGTAGGAAGATTAAAAATGTTCTTAAAACAGGAGAAACGTGCATTCTAGAAAGTTACTTTTTCTGCAAAAATGTTTCCCATTCAACCCAAAACTTTATACTATGCCTAAAAGTATTTAATTTAAATCACTGTTTTAAGTCACTTAATAGTTTTATTGCAAGGGAGCAACAATTCATTTCCCTCTTTACCAAGATGTGCATAGCTATAGTCCCTCCCTGATGTCAAGATGGCTGTTCACCTGTTCATGAACTGCTCTTTTCCTCTTCCTTAAATTAAGCAGTAATCAACATTCTTTGCTTTTCTCCCTAAGTATTTTAGTCACCCTTATCTAAGAAGGAAACGTGCTACAATACTAGAAGAGACAGTTACATTGTAAACCCAGCCCCTCTCCCCACATACATTTGGGGAATTTTTGTATCAATTCCATTATTTTGAACCTTGAGGTGAAATAGAAACATAGTGCTAACCTAGAATTCTGTAAATATCCAGACATAAATAAGAAACAAAGTGTCAACCATTATTTAATTTCTTAGCCTACGCTTATGGAACAATCCCACTAACTTTGATTTTGTTGTTAAAAATTATTTGTAGCATAAAGGTATGGCAACTACCTTTCCAAAGGAGAAGACAGTTCTTCGTTTTTAAGATGTTGTATTTTCTTCAACCTTTTAATATGTTTGAGGAAATGTGCTGATTATTTCTGTAATAGTTTATGTTATCATTTGGTACGCTTGTGACTTCTGGCCTATTGTGAATAATGTCAGCTTATTTTCATGACTGAGTCACATCAGAGTTATAAGGGGTTTCTTTGCATGTAGGTTTACATACTTATGCATAATATGCAGCTGTAATTAGAATATGGAAAAAAACTCTAAGAATTGCTGCTGGCAGCATATCCTGGGGGTGCTGGTTGACAGCCGGCTGAACAGGACCCGGCCGTGTGCCCAGGTGGCCAAGAAGGCCAACGGCATCCTGGCCTGTATCAGAAATAGTGTGGCCAGCCGGAGTAGGGAGGTGATCGTGCCCCTGTACTCAGCCCTGGTGAGGCCGCACCTCGAATACTGTGTTCAGTTTGGGGCCCCTCACTACAAGAAGGACATTGAGGTGCTGGAGCGTGTCCAGAGAAGGGCAACGAAGCTGGTGAAGGGCCTGGAGCACAAGTCTTATGAGGAGCGGCTGAGGGAACTGGGGCTGTTTAGCGTGGAGAAGAGGAGGCTGAGGGGAGACCTCATCGCGCTCTACAACTACCTGAAAGGAGGTTGCAGTGAGGGTGAGATGGGTGTTGGTCTCTTCTGCCAAGTAACTAGCGATAGGACGAGAGGAAATGGCCTCAAGTTGCGCCAAGGGAGGTTTAGATTGGATATTAGGAAAAGTTTCTTTACTGAAAGAGGGGTCAAGCCTTGGAACAGGCTGCCCAGGGAAGTGGTGGAGGCCCCATCCCTGGAAGTATTTAAAAGACATGTAGATGAGGTGCTTAGGGCCATGGTTTAGTGGGCATGGTGGTGTGGGGTTGACGGTTGGACTTGATGATCTTAGAGGTCTTTTCCAACCTTAATGATTCTATGATTCTATTCTACGATTCTATGATTTACAGAAGGTACAATAGAAAAGAATGGGAATGGGTTGACCTTCCAAAGAATTATTGTTCAAGTACATTAAATATGAGACAATATTGAAGGTGAAAAATAAAAAAAAAAAAAGAATCAGACACTTTACCACCTAGTTATTCAGATGAGTGATTGCTCTCTACCATTGCTGGTGTATTGACTTTGGTTCCAGTACTCTCAACTGGAGCCTCTGTCAGTCGTCCTGAGGACTGAACTTCTGAAAGCATATTGGATAAAAGACTAGCAACACTTAAAAAGGCTGACTTTCCAGAACCATCAGAATTCATGAACAAATGAAAGACTCATGGATGTATCTCAAATCAAACATCCTCAGCTTGCTATACAGCTTTTCACCTCTCCCCTCATCTCTACGCCTGGAGGACTTAAACCAAATCAGTTACTTAAACTAAAACAGTTCTCTTGTTCGAGAACTGATTTCATCATAAGAAAACTGGGATGGTTTCTATATCCAACTTGAGAAAAATTTCCATTATATATAGTTTACCTCAATCCCATGTAGCAGGTAAAAAACACAGCCAAATTAAAGACGTAAAACAACTTCAAAAAACTGAGAGGATGTGGTAATATTCAAGAAGGCCCTTACAAATAAGTTACTGCTGATATTTAAAGTAAAGTTTAAACTCAAATTTAAACTCAATGCAGAACACTCAGTGATCCTAAGATCATGGAATATTAACATTTATTTCCAGACAAGTTGTAGTGGATAAGAAGCTAAATGTACTTTCAAACAAGGAGTCTGAAAGCATCAAGTATTTTAAAGAGTTGCTTTAGGTCAAACACATCCTAGTAGAGTAACTCTACTCCTTTTCCAGTGGAAGTATCCATTGAATTTATGAGAATACAGAATCAAGTTCCCTCAACTAACTTCATTTTCAATGTACTTTGTATACTAGTTAGGTTTCAGTCACTGCAATTTAATTCCACAATGGAACAGTAAGAATTTATTTCCTACTGTCGCCTATCCTTAGAAAGTGCAATTCATACTCTCAAGCTATAAACATGTGGCTTCAGAACTGTAAGTGGTGCCACATACTAGCTGTTAACGAGAGGGTAGATCCCCCACTTCTTCAGGAAAAAGAGAACATTAACCCATGAATGATCTTTTTGGCTGACATCCTAGTTACATTCAATCTGTGTATTAGCTGTTTGAAGACAGAGGACTCACCACACTCAAAAACAGTAGCAGGTATAACACTAAAACTTTCTTTATACTGAAACAATTTATCAGTGGTAAGGAAGCAGAAGAGAAGGTGTAATATTCTGAAGTTAATTTTATACGAAGGTAATTTTATTTCCAGCAGCTAAAAAAATAAAAATCTGAAGTGTCAGTACTACTAAACAGAGACTGACAGGTTCAATTAATTGTAGGCAATATATTCCATTAAAAAGACTGCACTAATTTTTATAGTTAGTAGGATATCAAATCTTTGGAAACCAGATATTTTAAATTGTTTTTATAGTAGCAAATATGGTTTTTTCCCCTAAATTCCTAATTTCATAATGGAAGTTTCTCTGGTCTCTCTTCTCTGCATTTTGTATAGAATCACTTTCAAGTTGCATTAATTTATCCGTGCATCCTCTTTATACAGACTCTTTCACACAGAAAAAGGGCACAAAATAAGCCCAACGTAGCAAAGTTGTTGAGGAATGAAAGCTAAACTGGTGAGACCATCAGAAATATCTTGCTCTAAAATACTTTTCACATTTGGTGTTAGAAAAGGACTAGGTTTCAAGTCAAGTGGACTCATCTTTCAAATGAGCCCTATCTTTAGGAATGTTGTACCTTCCATTTAGTATGATACATACAAAGGCTTCTTTGAATCTATTACTGCATGAAGATTAAGATACATAATAAACTTATAAACCATGTTATGGAAAATTTGAAATAAAAAAAAAATCTAAAGGGTAAGAACATCCATAAAAAAGATATCAGAAAAGGTGTTCATTTAAGTTCAGGAGTGATTTATTTTCATGAACCCCTCTATGATCTAGATGCTTGAAAGAGATGGAAAAAAAGCAGCTGAAATGATAATTACTTAAAAAGGTAACAGACAAAGGTGCTGTTCAAAAACATTAAAGGAAGGCAGAGAATGATGCTGGGTTAAGATTTTTTTGCGACAGCTTTGCTCGCAGAAGTAAGGAAGATAAGCATCGGTCAGATGCCTGAAAGTGCTATTGTGACTATGAACTTACAGGAATTGATTGACTCTGGTATCGTGCTGGAGGAGTTGTAAGGCCCATAAAGGAAGGTTGATGCATAGTCATCTGTCACGACGCTGTGAAAACTGGTTTGGCTGCTCAGGTTGTTGCCACTACTGCTGTTTCTGTTGTATAAGTTGTTGTTCAGTTCATGGTTATTTCTGTGAGGCAGCTGCAAGCTGCCATTCAAGTGGCTGGAGATTTGGCTTACAGAAAAACCTGTCCTAGAGGACGATGATGTCATTTTGCTCTCATCATCATCTGAAGCAGCATACAGGTTCCCTAGAGAACTGGCTAGTCTGGAGTTTATGGAAACGCTGAATGGAAAACACATGTGGGGAAAAAAAAATACATACAAGGTATGTACAGATATATAAAAAAAAAAAAAAACAGACAACTCAGAAGACATTAGGTGAATAACACAGACCATTCTGAAATAATTTGTGTCTGCACACAGCTCTGAAATAATGAAAACCAGAATTCTTTGTCAGGAGTTCCCAAACTTTGTTTATTCAAGCACTACCCCAGCCAGCTTTCACCTCTGTCAAACCATATGCACATGCAGGAGATTGTGTTAAAAGGTTCAGGCAGTGGCTGATCTACACTGAAGTGCTTCATGTACATGTTAACAGTTTAAGAACTCCTCTTCTGTTTCTTGAAATCAGTAATGTAATACAAGTCTTCAAGTAACCAAGAAGTAATATGCTAAAATTTGAGAATAGAAATAGGGTGTCCTGAAATATCTCCTTAAGTTAGTTATTTTCTTCAAGTAAATATTTGTGCCCAGAAGTTACTAAAAATGCATCAATCATTCTAAATTTCATTTAATATCCCTAATTACTTAGTACAATAGTAATAATGGAATTAAATAGCAATAAATCAAGGGTTCATAAAAATCATATTAATTACCACTCAGTATTCTTCTGAGATTAACAGTATATAGACTTGTGGGAATACTTGCAAAACTTCTGTAAACTCAGATGAGTGAAAAAAAAAAACCCTGAGCAATGTAATACTGTTTCTGACTTGATACAATCCCACCAAAACTCTTGTATCAGTAGTATAGGTTTTGGTTTTTGTTTGTTTTTTAAATCTGCAGGCAACTAAAGTTTGGCTAGTGGAACAGCAAATCACTTTGTAAGTAAATTTAAGCCTTCTTACACCCAAGAACAGCAAGCGCTTCATAGACTGCATATGAGCTGAAAACCATTGTTGTATACAGGAAGTATTTGTACCAAAATGAGAATAAGAAAAAAAACCTTTTAAGGTTAGAGCCTGAGGATGTGGGAATTCTGCTTATTCTTTCTGCAGATGGTGAATTAACTGCCATCACTTTGGAGGCCTTCAGAGGAGACATGGATCCTTCTGTGCTACCTGAAGTATTCAGTCTAAAAGGAGTGCAGAGTTTTAGTGAGAAGCAAGATTTTTCTAATTGAAATATACATCTCAGAAACACATACAGTCTTTCAATACATAGACTGGTATTTTAGAAAGTGGGAATTCTCAAGTCTGAGTCCGGAGAACTAGACAGCAAAAACCCAACAGTTTGCCTGTTTTCAAATATCTTTTCACAAAACTTTTCAAATATCCCACTCGCAAGTTTTTCCCCTGCTGTACCATATTATACAGCTATAGGCTACTTTTCACCTTGATAATTTGTGAAGTGTCCATTTTGTATCAAATTTGTTGTAAATTTGATTATAAATTTTAAATATTATAAATTTGAGAAAGAATACTTTTTGTGCTTATAAAACAAGTACGAGTAGAAAAAACCAACACTGTAGCTTCCATGAGAAGAATATAATTTCCAAATGACAGCAAGAACATATTTACAAAGTTGCACAGAACATAGAGCTCTTTCTAGGGTGGGACTCCTAATGACCAAATTCTTCGTATTTTGATAATGAGCTCTAAGTATGGCACACTGGACTACTCAAAAGTGTTAGCATTATAGCTGTCCATATTAGTTTATTAAAAACTAATAAACAAATAGCCTCACAGTAGTATGAAATTCTCTCCATCTGTAGACCAGGGGATATTATCATGATCAGCTCTTAAAGGATGAAAGACCTTGGGTACAAGCTATAAGCACAGAAGGAATAACATCGAGCGGAAATAGCTTTAATTCCACACCAAGAAAGGACAAACAGACATGTCCAAGGTCAGACATCTGGAGTAATCCATCTCAAAAATCCAGGTTGTCACAAAACTGAAGATAATGTGTTCTTTATGATGACAGATATTTTGTCTTACGTGTTGTATTTTAGAAGCAATGGGGTAAAGGATGCAATGGTTACAAAAACCAAAAGACTCAATTCTGCCATTCCTCCAACTCTTAAAATTAAGTCAATTTTCACTCTACGTTTTATTTTCTTTGGGGGGGCACTGTCAGTACCGATTTGAGGTTAGTACAGGTCATAAATGAAATAAACATTTCGAAAATGAGAAGAAACTATTGGCTTTATTGGCTCCACAGACAGTTCTGAACAAAGCACGTAGTAAAGTGTTCAGTGACGACCGTGTATTAAAATATGAAAAGGTACTAAAACTCAATATTTATCTGTTACATCTTCTAAAAAAAAAGTAGTGATCGTATCCACTAAGCAATACGTCTAGTTCATCCACTAAAATACACAGGACAAAAACTGTGATACGCAGGCAATATGTAGCCAATTTAGGCTTTTGAGACAAGTATTTAATTTTACAGAGATTAAGTGGTTATGAGTTAACTAGTCATCCTTCATTGTATAACAGCATAGATATTAGAAAATGTGACTGAGGAAATTACTTGTATGTGCTAATTATTTATTAAGAAGAATTCAAGGTATCCCTGAAGTAAAGCTGTACCCCTCTGTCCATTAGATTTGTTCCCCCCTGCATTTGCAGGTATTTAGAAAAGTTTGTTACCTGCCATTTCTCAGGAGTCTGAAACTGCTAATCAATTGATGTGATAAGTATAATTCAAAACGCTGAAAATTTGAGACCTGAATGGCATATGTTTAGAACTATAATTTTAAAGTTAATACCTGAAAGGTTGTGATATTGACCGGGTGTGCAGTTTCACGTCTTGCAGCCTAAAGAAACCAAAGCAGCAATTTGTCAAAGGATAAAAGCCTTTCCCTGCCCCCAAAGCATATTTGCATGTTTCATACTCGCTTTAAAGTACAAGACTAACAAGAGTTAAGAATTATTGACAATCATTATTTTAATTTACACTTAAACAACAGAGAGGTACATCAGGTTTATTTTCAAACTTCACATTTTTACTGGTTCTGAAAAACTCAAAGTTTATATAAGGAGTACAGAAAAGTAATTATAGAAAGATAACTAAGTTCATTGAAGAATATTTTGTTTGAGATGTAAGTTTTAAAATCCTAGGTAGATATAAATTTGAAGGTTTTGAAATATCTTTTTAACTTTGTCTTTTACTGCTACAGAATAAGTAGGTATCCTGAACAGGGAGACGGGGGAGGGAGGGGAAGAAGAAATTAATAAACCAAATCTGCAACAGATATATACATAGAGAAATTTCCACCACAGAAGGTGGTACAACTAGTACCACTGCCTTAAACAAGGCCATGTACTTGCCATAAAGATCTGATAGCACAGACTGAATTTAAAATTGCAAATTACCTCAGAATTAATTAATTACCTCAGAGCTCCAGTTGTAGCAGAACATGGCCGTCTCCGACTTTTTAAGGCATTAAGTTTATCTCCCTGTGTCATGCCATTCTGAGTTTCCACATCTGCTTTGTCTTCAAAATCGTTCTGGGAAACACAAAGTATGCAAGCAAGGAAATATATCAAATCCTTAGGAGTGGTGTAGTTTCAAAGTATTGAACATCTCCTTCACAAAGATTATAATTTAAAAGGCTAATCTACAGTCTTCTGCATACATGGGGCACTACTCCCTTTGCATTCCAGTAAATTAAATGTGTCACTGTACAAACGCACATTCACAGAGGCTTTTTGCAGAATCTAACCTCAAAGTCAGTTTGGGATGCTTGAGTCTTAACACCAGTATTTATTTACTTCGAAGAAGTCTGTTTTTATAGAACTTAAACTCCAACTCCTTCCTCCATAACTATTTTTAGTTATCATCAATGTAGAAGGGAAGCAGTAACACACAATTTTGTGATATACACAAGATGAGGAAGAAATTTAGATAAAGTTGTGTGTCCTGCAAGAGGAGCTAAAAATCAGCTTTCCTAAATTACTAATTTTTTTTTTAAATAAAAAGTTCTCATGACCTCTACAAAAATACAGTTTTGAAAAAATTTCCCTATGAGAACTTAATAAGGAATATAGGACGAACAGATTTCAGAGTTTTATCCTACTTCTTCTAGCTTTAGAAAGTATTATAAACTCTAAGAAATATTAATAGTGTAGGCCAACACTGTTTAAATGCCTATTTATAATTTCTGACTGATCTCAAAACAGACTTTTCTAAGACCCAAGTATTAAGTAGAGACAGTATCTTAAGTAGCAGAGAAATATGAAAGTTACACAAAGCAAGAAGAGAACTGCGATTTTTTTTTTTTCAAATTGCCAAATGAAAAAAACGTATACCAATTATGCTTCATTTGACCTCAGATCACGTATTTGTTTGTATTACTGCAGTTACCATTGTGCCTAAGTGACCTCACTGCTCTGCATAAAACAGAACAATAGTCTCTGCCATTAACCAAGATGAAAGATTGACAGAAGTAGTAATACAATAGAAGTTAATCAAATGATGTGATGGTCCAAGTGTTGTATTAATTATAGGAAAATATAAATATTTTAGCTAGACTTCATTGAAGACTATATGCTAGGCCATTGTTACCAATCATTCAGCCTCAATGCTGATAAATTTTTTTTCACTGTCTTTACCTGCACAACAGTTATTACACGTAGCTGTTCTGTCCTCTGATTCTTAGGCCTCATGCATTTTTGCGACTGGGAACATTACTTTGTTTTGAGCTTCTAGAGAGCCTACTATAATGAGGTCTTGAAATATAACCAAATATCCAAAGAGATAAAGAGATAAATTATCTTTATTCTGAAAACGGAATGTTAAACAGCTTTAATATGACATCTGTAAAAAACTGAAATATACATATTACAGAGAGGGTTACAGCAGAAAAAAAGCAGCACTGTGAATTTATACTGTGAATCTGCACACAAACTGCTACACAGCGTACAGGTAGTTGAGTTGCCTGCAAGTAAGTTGCCTTGAATATCAGAAGCAGTAAAGCTGTAGTAGTAGCTCAGATTCAAAAACATTACTTTTACGATATGGCTATGTGCCAGCTGTTTTCATGAGGCATACAAGATCATCTCTACAGAGTGTTATATTCTCCAGTTAGTAATCTAGATATTTAACTTTACATATTCCAAGCCACAAATGGAACTTCCAAAAGGGAAATAGTACCTTTACAGAAATGCATTCAGGGTGCTCTTCCGGCTTATGATAGATCACATGATAGATGATTATTTTAATTTATACTAATAAGTATCTGAATAAGGTGCCCACTACATCCCTGGTCTTTTACATCAAGTAAAGGATTCCATCAGCAAACGTAAAAACTCTTTAGTTATTACAGAGTTAAGACAGGATTAATCAAATGCATAGTGCCTCTAAACTGCTTCTCACAGATACTGTAGGAAACTACAGTTTAAGATTTTTACTAGCCCAGAAGCAGAAATATGTTCACTTTAGTTCACACTTCAAGCCTATGCTTCCAATAAATAATTATAAGGTCCCTAAATGTACACATCACATCAGTAATCCATAACACTGTGATAAAGGGATGGACATCTATACACTCATGCATTATTAGCTATAAACTTGGAATAAATAGATTTCCAGGAGGAAAACTGATTACTTTTTTCCCCTCCATTCTCCAATAAACAACTGAAAACCCTGAAAGAATGACTTGAAATAATGCAAACTTTTTGAAGTTTGCAAAGTGACCTGTAACAGTTTTAAATATAACCTAAGCTTTTTTCTTTTTTTTTTTTTGAAAAAGTGAAGATTTGTTCTAATTATGAGCTATTAAAAAAAAAGTTTAGCTATGAAAAAGCAATCTAGTACTAATACAAGTCTAAAAAAATCTAAAAATCATCTATAGCTAGTTATTAAAAGATCAGCTCCATCTCTGCTTCTTTGAAATTTTTCCTGTGATCTCTTACCTCCCTGTATTGATCCAAGTCTTGTATTTTATTCAAGCTCTCACTGATTGAAATGTCATTCAAGCCACAAAGAACTCTGTTAATGTTTCCATCAACTACTCGTTGTTTCTGCTTTGATCGGATGAGATCTCCCTCCAGCCATAACATTGCTTGCTTCCTTTAGGATACACAACCAAATCAATTCATATCAACAAATTTGCATACACATAAAAAACAATATGAAAACATGCTACTCTTACAGATTGCCAACATTTGAATCTTCTGTTCATCTTCATCTGGAAAAAAAAATTCGAATGTCTATCACAAAAAAAAAAAAAGGAAATAATAATTTTCAGTGGTTAAAAACACAACAAAAAAACCCCCCAGAATCACCAAACAGTCTGTATCCATCACAGCAATACTGCAGGTACTAAAAATTCATTTTACAACATCCTACTGGGAAAAGAGATTAACTAAACAGGAATTTGCAATAGTATTTTAAAGGCTTTTACAATGCAACTTAAAAATTAATATAAAATAATGCTTTTATATATGTAATGTGTAGAATAAATGATGATACAGCACTTTCCAACTTCTTATTAGCATGAGTTTTGTGTATACAGGTATTGTGCCGTAAAACTACAGTTGACCTGCACAGTGGAAGTGGTCATAGTCATGTAAAGTTGAACAGGACTCTAGTATCCATTTTCAGAAAATGAAAGATTGTATCCTTCAGACAGGTGGTAAAAAAATAATAATTTAATTGCTACAGTGTGCATGGGCTAAGCAGGCTTTTGTTGATGAGACTCCAATATTCCTCGATAAGGAAGTTTGTTGGGTAGGTACCTGTCATGCTAGTTCCATCCAAGAACTGAGACCCTATTACATATTATTGTAACAAAATTAAATTCCTATACTGAACAGAGAAAAAGTGATTGAATTCATTTTATTCATTCATAAAATGAATTTTAGAAGTTGTATTCATTTTTAGAATGATGCAACTTATGTTAGCTCCTTCTTTCTCAATCCCGTTTTGACACTACTGGTGACATTGCTTGGATTTTGTCTGATTGTCAAAACAGGTATCTATTGCCATTAGGACAATAGAAAATTCTTACTGAACAATACTACAGCTCTTAGCTATGAATAATGTAGGTATGAATGAAAAAAAAACTCTGAAGGATCTTTGCCTATCCATAAAATCAAACCAAGTATTTATACTCCACTGCAGAAAAGACATGGGCCCTGATTTTCCCATCTTTCGAGTAAACAGCACTTACTAATCACACTACCTACTAGCTTTCTCAATTTTACTCTATTGTGGAAGTTATTTTTAAGAGTGCATCATCCAAGCATCAGCATGGTGTGGAGAACTTTAATCTGCCTTCAGTGAGCACTTGTGGTTTGCGAAAGTTTGTGATTCACAGTACTTTGAATAACGGTGGGAGACCTCTCAAATAAAGGAGTGCCCATTCAGTTGCACTGGAAAATAAATAGGAATCCTCATTCGTGCTCAATTTCTTTTATGAATTACAGTAATACTCCTCCTTTCTCTCTGATATCCTATGGATTTTAAGATGCAAGGTTTTACTGTATTTACACAGTATCTAGCAGAGCTGTTGCATTCTCTTTTTTCCAAAAAGAGACAAATTTGTGGTGGATTTTCTCAAAACGTTTTTTCTCATAACAGTGAAAATGCCTCCAACTAAATATTATCATGGTATCAACTCAAAAATATCAGCATAACCACTACAATAGTAAATGCACAATGTAGAAACCACTACAAAATTAAACTTAATGTCTACATCACTGAAGCCAGTGCAATTTGGTCCTTCATTTCCAGTCAGGATCAAACCTTGAATCACCCATTCAAATTATCTGCACAAGAAATGTTCTTAACCCAAACTATACAGTCAATTTTGAGAAGGGGCTGTATTAAAACCATACATTTGTTTTGCTAACGACTATTAGCTCCAAATCAGAAACGCTTCATACATTATGCTACGAATCTGACAGAGATCATAAGCTGTCCACCACGTACTTATTTAATCTTTAGTTACAAGAAAGAAAAAACCATATCAATTATACTATTTTAAGATTCATTTTAAGTGTCATCATAGGCTGTATATAAAGTATATAAAGTCTATCCTTTCTATGTTAATATTTTAATATATCCTTATTGTTGATTTAATCTTTTGTCCACATCTGGACATCACTTTCAACACATTTGTCTTTAACTCCTAAATTCCCCCAGAACACAAACATGCAGAGTCTTGAGACCCTCTGCCCCTTAAGGTGACAAAATGCATAGCACTCCAGAGAAGATGATTGCTACTGAATAAGTTTGATTTCAATCTCAAATTAACTAACCTTGAACATATTGTAACAGGCAGTAATATACGACGTCAGTAGACAGAAAGTAGATCCTATAAATAGTGCAAGATAGACAAGGATGTAGAGAAGCAGTTGATTCTTAGTAGCAAAGAAGTATACATACTCTTCCAAGAAGTGTTGCTGGGGTCCTATAATAGAGCCTGGTCGACATATTCTTATCCAAGCAATGGCTTCAGCATGTGTGAACTTGTAGTGTTTCATTATATAACAGGCAATCAGTGTTCCTGTTCTCCCCAGGCCAGCTACAGAAACACAAATATCAACATTCACATACAAAGTCAGGAGCATTTCATAATTATCAAATTAAAGTATGGGATATGAGAAGACTTCTTTGCAATGTTATTCACCACCTTAATATTTGAAGAAAGAATTTCTGATTCAGTATCCCATTTATCAACATAATTGAATTTCAATGCTGTAGATATAAGAACAAATATATCATACTTATAAAAAGTTAACAGCATTTAACAACGCAATCACTCTTGGCACTTGTACAATTCTACTTCAAACTTTTTTTTTTTTTTTAAAAAAGGCTGATATTTTTAAAAAATGCCATGACCAAGCTGGATACAAACTTTGTATTTATAAAACCAGTAAAAAACAAAATCACAAGTACCTTTGGGAGGCCAACACACATATTTTACAAATCAAGGTTCAAATATATGCAAATACAACACAACAGATAGCAGCATGTGTCTTCTCAGCTAATGGCTTTTTCTTTTTGAATTAGTTTTGTTGTGAAACCAACCTATAAAACTATTCATTGCTATCTATATAAACAGCAACGAATGTTGAGCAGCATATAATTTTATATATCAACAGCTTAAAATAATTTAATCCATTGCCCCCCAAATCACAAACTAATCCTGGTTTTAAGGGGAGAATAGAGAGACAGAAAAATTAGCTTTTACTATCAGACAAATCTCTAACTATAGAGTAAGAATTAATCTCTTTCTAGCCTTATGTCTGATCTACTAGTAAAGTGTCTCCCCATTTAAACCTTATTTTCCCACAAAATACAGTATTTGCGATTTACAGTCTCGTGGAGGCCAGCTATTGTTTATGCACCAACAACTATATAAATGGAAACTCTCTAGGCAGCCAGACATCCTTGCTGACAATTCTATACACAACTACAAGCTCTTCACATTTAACCAATAACTAAATCTTGTTGTGATTTTTGGAAAGTTAAGATGATTGAGGTAAAAGGATGAAAGTAAAAGTTCACAAATAGTGAGATTCCACAACCGTATACGGGAAGACTAGCTCTGAAGAATCACTTAAAAAGGGGAAATACTGTTAGAGAGAGAGCTTTGGGCTTGCGTTTTTGGTTTTGGTTTGTTGGGTTTTTTTAAATGCAAAAAGGAATACAACATGCAAATAGATAACCAAGAGCTATACTATACTAAACATACATCTGAATAAGAAAATGGTCTCTGAAAATTGCAGGTAACATATACTAACTGCATATATCACTAAGACTTCAGTTCTTCTCTCTAAGTTCCTGCTAATGTACAAAGTTTCCATAGCAACCCTTTGCATTAAACCATTCTATAACTGCCGGGACAAGCAATTTCTAGTGTGGAAGCTGTGCTTAGAATACTTCTGCAATAAGAGTACAAGGAAACTACAGACAATACATTAACTCTGAGTTAACTGTTGATTTAACTTTGTATAGGCTTATTTAGAAGGGTGTAAAAAAATGTAAAAAGAGTGAGATTGTTGGTTTGCTTATTAAATGGTCAGACGAAAGACCAAAAATACTTCAGTTTAGCAAGTGCATATCTAAGTCACTAGAAAAGTATATTGTATTCCTTTAGCAACTAAGCCTGGAAAATAACAATCTACTCCTGCTAATCAATAATTTATACTCTCATTTAGTCAATTAGCAGATGTCCAGCTTATTAATGCCAGAATTTCTGGGTTCTAGCCACAATAACAACTTGTTAGCAAATAAATTTATTTATCTTTGAGATGCATGTTTATTTTTCATGGAAAAATTATGAATGAATAGCACTGTTCTTGTTTCAGATCAGCAAGACATTCGTCTCCACAATGTTCTTACACAACTCTAAACATAAATCAAGCCGAACCCTTCAAAGCCTTTGTTAATCATTCTTGACTAAGCATGTTTTGTGTATTTTCTCGCTGATTTGCTGAAATAGGCTGGTTTGAAATGCTGGCATCACAGTAACTCACATTAACTTGAAATGTGGAAGTCATGCTCCACAGAAAAATGTAGAACAGTCCAAAAGCACAAAGAAAACCTTTCAGTCTTTTGCATTTCCTAGCCAATTATCATAATGCTGGGAAAGCATAATGCAAAAGAGAAATCTCTATCAACTAAAACTCAAGCCTTCAAGTGATATTAAGAAAAAACAGAACAATGAACAACAGATTGTCAGTTACTGTAAGTAGTAGTGTAGGATGAAAGAACTTAATATGCACATGAAAATAACAAATATTTGTCACATATTTAGTCAAGTGTCATAAAGCAATATTACTTTCACAACCAGAAAGTGTTATTTTTTAAATTCTTTATTTCTGGAATAAACACTATGGATTTATACTTATTTTGAACTTCAATCTGAGAAATAAATAAGTGCATATACCTTTACAATGTACAGCAATAGCACCATCAGCATTTTCAGAGATGTTCAGGAACCTCTGAACTATACTATCGCTTGGTGTGCTTCCATCTATGAAGAACAGGTCATAATGCTCAAAACCAGCATCAGTAAAGCGTTTTGCCTCATAAATTTTTTTGTTTAGTCTTATGATTGATGTGACATTATGTTTCTTGAAATAGGGAAAGTAGGCTTCAGGTGCATGAAGAGGATAACCTATAAAAAAGTAAAGCAACAATCATTTAATGTCACAGATGAAGTTCAAAGTCCTACTAATCAAAATTGCCCCCAAAATCTTTTTTGAATGATAAACATGCTAATACTGAAAATGCTTTAATATTTTATTCAGAATAAACATGTTAAGTGATAAAAATTGTTCACAAAATGGTCATGAATACCACTATAATTAAAAAAAGGATTAAAAAAAATTAAAGCACAGTATATTATCCAAGCCACTCTCCATCATTTACCAGCA